GTTGAATCAGGAAGCATCCTATAATGCCATCCAATTTGGTGATATTTTTAGAAATGTACTTTTGATTCTACTGAGCTGTCTACTCAGTGGCAGTAATCTCACAAATTCAGTTGACAAAACCATTGCATTAATACTGTACTTTGCAAGTCAAAGATAAAATTATACAAGACATCACAGAAAATTGAGCTGGGGGATTCACAGAAAAAAGCCACTGAGAACAAGTAATTTCTATTACTGTTATCTTGTTCTGCTCTCACATTTTGTAACTTTTCTGGTTCAAATGTGGCTGACACGTTAGATATGAGATACTTTAACAGTCTAATAGAGATATAGTGTTCTATCACAGCACTCCAGCCCCTTTCATTATAGAAAGGCAACTAATCTATGGCATATTCTGTCTTTAAACAGCCAACAAGTTGGTGGGGGAAAAAAAAAAAAAAATAATATCTGAATTTTTTTTTTTTGCTTCTTTTCTCAAAACTATACTTGCTCACAGTTTTCAGATTCAAAGTAGTGAACAGATAACTTACCAGCTAAATCAGATTTATTTCCCCAGACAGGAATTAAAACAATTACCATGAAGCGACAAAACAAAATAACAAGAGGCCACAAAAGCAGAAATGAGACAAGGCCTACTGTAACTAAGGACTGGATAGCCATTAAAGCAATACCCCAGAACATTATAAAAACTAGGTGTCATGCTATTAAAAATTGCAAAAGAAAAAAATTATCCCTTAAATTGTAGATATCAGCCTCTCCACACACTTAAACATGGTGATAACTCTTCATGCTAAAGAGCAAGGCTTTCAAGGTGACAGATTCAATGTACTCCAGGCTGGTAGTAAGGACACAATAAAAAATACATAGTACATCAATCAATGAGTTTCAGAAAAAAGATTTGCAAAACAGAACATGAAATATGTATTCTGGGGATTAAACTAGTTAATTAAATGGAATCTGGTTTAGCAGTTTTACAAAATAGATTTCTATCCATTTCTCCCATTGTCATGCCCAGAATCACACCACAACAGTAACTCTACAGCTATGTGCTCCCATCTTCAGCACTTACTAGGACAAACATATGTGACAACAATTCAGTGTGCTTGGAAAAAACATGTATACAGAGATTTAACCCACAGGCTATTGCACCAAGTCCCAAATGGCATCTCTGACCATCTCAAACATAACATTTCTCTTTTTAGAAATATGAAGAAATATGTTTCTTCTTCTTTAAATACAGAAAAATATTCAAAGATGCCTTCTTGATCAAAACCTAAAAAATGTAAATTCCAATAACAATCAGCCCTCCAACTCTCCATATAAATAAATATATGGGCATACTTACCACAGGAGTGCTTTTTTCCTATGTCTTTTACTTTATCCCTCGGATGCTTCAGATTCTAAATCCTCTCCCCTGCTCCTCTCAACTAGGCAGTTATCAGCAACCTTGCTGGGTTACCTGCTGTTGTAGGTCAGCTAAGAGACACTAATAAGTTTAACAAACAATTAACTTAGGAAAGCACAGCAAGAAAAGGGAAAAGTAGTGTAGAACTGTAATCTTTAATGCTTTCACTGACATTTCACTCTGCAAACGAGATGAGCTACTCACAGATCATCACACATCCATACTACCTGCTTATCAACAGAATAAAAAATATGTACTTTCCTACATCAAACTAGGGTTACACTACTTGGTCTACTTAAATTCAACAAGTAAACTTGAGATGTATCAGTTCTATGCCTGAATGGGATATACTAGGGAAGCATTGCCTTTCATTAAACTTTTTTTTTTAATAGTGGTGCAAGGATGAATGTTCATTAGCTCTCCCATGACTGTCTTCTAATCTGGTATGTGTAAGCCATGACAGATGAGTGAATTAACATCTTACTCTTCTATGTGCTAATTAAACAGCCAGTTCTCTTCTTGTAGCGCACTACTTTTCCCACTATCCTACGCATGGTTTTGAGAAGAGGACTCGTAATTATCTTCCTCTCTTACCTATCTGTAATTTATGTCGCAACACCTTTGTAACCAAATTTAGCAGTTCCAATTTGATTTTTTAATTATTATTATATACCTCAAAGTTATTCTAGGAATTAGCATGAAAGGGACAGAAAAATAAATCTGGGGTGATTTGGTTTTGTTCCCCCTGCAAAATAAAACCTAATTGGAGTGGAGAAATCACAAAAATGAGTATTTTCTTAATATAGGTTAATTTCTCTGTATTCATTTTAATCATCCTATAGCTAAGAAAAATGAAACATTCCCAAACTGAAGAGCCAGAGTTTCAGCTCATAGTGTTTCACTATCCAAGTCTTGAAATCATGTTGCATTCCACACAGTTCTTAAAGGCCTTCCTATTCCAAGAACTTGACTAGAATAGTTACAAGACAGCGATTCTTGACCAGCATTCTGTGTGCAGATGTTAATTATAGACTATTCTTATTATTCTAAAAAGGAGTTTCTATAGAAAGCTCTCCAAGAATAACTGTTAAACTGAGCATCTCAAACAAATTCTTCCCCATTGGGCTCTGTGTGCTCTTTAATGAAAATATTTTTACTACATTTAACTTAAAAAGATTAAAAATAAGGATAGCAGTCTTGTGCACTTCTAACAAAGTACTTAACAGTATTTTTAACACCACTGTTCAGCAAAGTACATACAGAATAAGTATATGTATTAAATGAACTCTATGCATTACAATCACTTTTCCAGTAATTCTGTAAATGCATTCAGAATGCCCACATTTAATTGCTGGTGTTTTCTGGAGTTGTATAAAGCAAGCAGAGAAACTGTGATCTAGTTGTTGCTGAAATAAAAGAGGGGAATGTAAAGAAACTGTGAAAACACCATGAAACCATACCAGAAAAAGTCAAGAGAAATGTTGGGGAGGCAACCCTGTACACTGGATATTTGCTTCACTCACAAAAGAAGCAAAACAGTGGACATGAAAAAAAAAAAAAGGAACTTTATTCTGACCTCATGCTTATATAAACCCTATGCATTTAAGTGGATTTGCTGTGGTGTAAGAGTCATGTTAATGAAATCCAAATTAAACCCTATATGTGAGTCTATGTATTTGGGCAATTAGAACCAAATGTTTACTGTGGTGGAAAGGCTCTGTACAAGCCCATCTCATCGACTAATGGGATACCTTTGCCTTGCAATTAAGCTCTTCATTCCCCTCGTTGATTCATTGTCATTACATCAGCTTTAGTAGTCACCCCACGAGCTAACCCTTAATTTAATTCCATAGTGCTGTTTCTTAACGTTCTCCACCTCTGTACCTTTTCCACCAGGCTCCTCCTATATATTTAAATTTTATATCAACACAGTGTTTCTGTCACCGTGTGGCTTTAAATAGTAAAGCAGTCCTACTGAAATCAGTGAAACTTTGTGTATGCTTAAAGTTATGATGTGCTGGGCCACATGAAATAAAGAACTTCCCTGTTGCCTAGGCAGTAGTTTTGATTTTATTAAAAGCATCTGTCACCATTATACTGTAAGATATACTGGACATATATATATGTGTATATATTTTGCAGAAATATTTCTTGCATTCTATATACATTTTTGCATGTGAAAAATAAGCTAGGAAGATTCTGATATGAAGAGCATCATGCCATCCTACTTCTTTGGTCTCCATTAAAACAGCTGCTAGAGATTTTATTTATAAATAATCTTTCCTCATTTTGCTCCAGTCTAACACAATATTGCCAACACTGCTGTTCTGATTATCAAAGAAATGCTTATGATACTTTTTCTTGTTATAGAACCGTATTACATCTGCGGCAAAGTATTTTTAAGATGTCATTAGAAACTACTCAGACGCACTATTAACTGTCACGATGAGTAATTTTCCTCGATTCAAAAATTTAAAGGGCCATTACACCTCCTGTATATTTCATCAAGAATGCCCCAGGCTGCTGTAAACTTCTAATAAGAAAGGCCCCGAAGGTGACGGCGCGGTCCATCCTCGGCGGGTTAACGTGCCCGACGGCGGGTGGCATTAGCCCAGCCCGGCCGCACAGGCACAGGGGTCACGGGGACTTTGTCCAAAGCCTGAAGCTTAAAAAACCCGCGCCCCATCGGTACATCGCGCTCCCTTCATCCGGAACGTCTAAACTGGTGTTTCGCGATTTCACCCTGTTACGCCAGCTCCCACCCCGGCCTGACTTCGGGAAATGCACCAGCAGGGACTCTCCGGTCTTCTCTGAGAAGCTGGAGCCTCTTGCCTTGACAAGTTTATTCCGTTGCAACAAACGTCCTTGAGCTGACGAAAATCTCGGAGTTTCAAAACGAGTAAACGCATCGGAGGGAAGAGCCGCTGGCTACGACACGGTGCAGCCCCGGGCTGCGCGGGGGCATCGCGCTGGCGGGGCCGGCGGCGAGCGGC